AAGGTACATTTACATTTTAACAAATTTTAATGTAGAAATAATCTTTTAAAAATTTCTTCTCCATACACAATTGGAACTCTTCCTCTTTAATATCCTGCTTCAATTCTCCTTTTTAATTTTCCCCTAATATCTCCTCCAAGTTGAAGCTAATGGGCTAAAAATAGAAATAGGAACTAGAACCTAATATTTATTGTGCTAAATTCTTCATATATATGATAGCGTTTGTATTTCTGACTTACACGAAAGATATATTGGTATGATCTGAACAGGAGGGTATTATTAGATGTATAAACTCTTTAAACCTGTTTTCCCATTTGTCAAATGGGAGAGGGCTTCATAGCCCTTCCACAATGGAACTAAAAATGTCTTCAAAGAGTCAGGACTTCTTTTGACTCAATCTTTCCACCTAAAGAGGAACATACCACCCTAGGAGTCGTAGCTAATAGTAGGTTTTAGGGGGAGAAACCCAACAAAATAAGCAAAAGAATCACCTAGAACAGACTAGTCTTACTACAAAGTTTTTCTAAGTCCAGCCTGGTACACTACGTATTATCTTCAACTGAGTTGCAAAGGGCATTGCCAGAACTTTTACTAGTAACTTGTTTGCAAAGGATAGGCATGATCATTATTTCCACCCTAAAAATAAGCAACCTGGGCACAAAAAGGTAAAGCAATTTGCCTGAGGTCATAACTAAAATAGAGTAGCAAGTAAGAACAAAAGGCAAGGGCTGCATTTATGGACAACCCATCCGATCAGTCTGCTCTGTTAAAAGTATATTATGAAAAGAAATGCAAAATTATTTTGTCTTTAGAAGCTGAAAAGTTTTAGGGGAACTAGTGACATTAGCTCAGCACTGAAACTTGAATATTTATAACATGACAATGTGTCAACTGGCATCAAAGCAGTCTTCTCTTCCCAAGTATTTCTGAAGAGATTTTGGAACTTTTGTTTCAAAAATGTGTTTTTGAGAGTGAATACTCACAGGGCTCAAGAGCACTACCGTTTGAAGTAGTCCATGAAAATCGATGTCTAAGATGGATGAAGACTACATAGGGAGCTGTTGCTATGCAGGGTGGGGGGGAAAAAGCAATACAAATGAATTTCTTATCACCTAGATGAAAAATAGCCTTTCTTCATGCTTATAAAAAAAGACTCTCAGTGACTGATAACATATAAACACTTGAAATTATGTATATCATTAACTTACTATCCCAAACTTTCAAAAAATACTCAGTGGGATACTTGATACTTCAATTACGGCAGACAGAATTAAAATCCCAGTCAGAAGAAATGCCAAGAAAGATTTCTAACATTACATAAATACTTTGTGGACAATATGCTATGTATACAGCTAATATTTTGTAAGAAAATGTTTATAATCACCTTCTCTTTCCTGGTTTGCCATGCTCAAAAGGAAAGCGGCAAAAGGAAACAATACCCTAGGTTAGACCTCACACTTAACAGTCTTTGAACATAAAGCTAAGGAAACTTTGAGAGATAATTAAATATACAGTATGTTAGTATTTTCAGTCCAGAAAAAGTAAACTTCCTAATGTTCCTGTTATTGGATCCAAAGAGAACCTCAACATTTTAGTAACAATGAGCTATTAAATTTAAATAAACTCTGCCTGCATTTGAAGTACAACATCCACTACAAAAAGCTAAGGTAGAACCTTAATTGGTGAAAGTATTAATTCTTCTATAACATACAAGTATTAGTTTAAAATCTTAACTCACTATTAACAAAAATATTTTCTTAGTTCTAGATATTAACCTTATATCAGAATGAAAGTTATACTCTAAGAAATTTATAATTTTTTAAATATCATTATAAATAAAGGTAAAGGGTATAAAATCTTGCAAAATCAGGCATTCATTCTGATAGAGTATTTGACTAAATAAGGTTAAGTTAAAGAAATAAGGAAAACAGGTGTTACATATCCTTAAAATATGATTGGTGATAGACAGCTTCATTTTTTCCAGTTACTCATCATACCCTTTGCTATACTGCATTTCATTTCCCACCTTTTTCTCGATATTTTAACTAAGCACCTATTTAAGATTTCACAATATAAAAGAGATATAGTTCTTACAAATTTAAGAACTAAAATATATTTCTAACTGAAAAAAAGCAAAGCACGGGGTAAGACAGAGAATGATTCTTTTGTGTTTTTTTAAAGTGTATGTCTTGGTCCTAAACTTCTAACTCATAAGTTAGTGCACATAAATATTTTTAGTTCATAATAATTAATAGAGAAGTGCGGCAAGGTAAACTTTTACCCTTTGTAATATTCCTTGGAAACTGTTAGAAACTTGCATTTGTTTGACTTCTGTAATTTAAACTTTTTTAATTATTACAAAAAGTTCAAGACCCACCCTGACAACTTCCCTCACCCAATGTGTTCAGAGTCTCCAGTAGAGGGCAAGGTAGATCCAACATGGAAAATGTATGGTTAGTTTCAACCACTCTCAAGCTGTGGTTTTGCTGTGCAACTTTTACAACCCACAGCATTGTTTCTTCCTCTGCCATAGAATGGAAAATATGTGTCATCTTAATATGAAGCAACTCTATTTACCTAACAGCCAACTGCAACAAAAAACCCAAAGGGAAGTCATCAAAAATTGTCGCTTTCACTTCAAATATATGTCAGCCTATCTTTAAAAAGACATGAACATGGCAACCTTTTAAGGAAAAGGTTTCAGTCTGTAGTAGGTATTGCTTTAACTCTTAAAATTACCCACAGATACAAAAATAGTAAAATTATTTACATTCACATTTAGTGACCAACCACATAATTGTCAGGGGAAAACTTGGGGTCCTTACCATCAGCTGTCAGCGTGAAAGAGTTTAGCGAAAAAAGAAAATACTTATATGAAATACAAAAACTATCTGAGATGGTCTGTATTTCAATGACTTGCTTACATGGACATACATATATTCACTGTTGCTAATAGAGATGACTGAACTTTGGCTTGGAGAGCTCTGAAGAATTTAACTGTTACTTAGTTTGCTTATTTTCCTTATTTATTTACTACCCAAATAGCATTTATTAAATATCTACCATGAATTTGACACTCTAAAAACCTGCAGCACTATCTTAATTTTTAATAGAATTTATGCATTTATAACCTAGTTAACTCAGTTACTCCTTATATATTTTCTATCTTCAAAAGCCATGCTTTGGGGCATTTTTTCATATTAAAATGCAAATTAACAATAAATTTGTATACGACTTTAGAACTTAACATTTAAATAACATTATATGAAGCTGACAAGAAAGCCACATTTATTACAGATGAGAAACTGGGACTCAAGTTTAAGTGTGAAGCAACTGTCCCAAGTTATTTAATATTTATTGCTTAAACACTGAGTCTTAAAAGACTCAACAGACACAAGTCCAACAGCTCCCTTTTTTTTTTTTTTTTTTTTTTTGAGACAGGGTCTCACTATGCTGTTCAGGCTGGGCTTGAGCTCACTTTGTAGCCCAGGCTGGCCTCAAACTCGCAACTATTTTCCTGCCTCAGCCTCCCGAGTGTTGGGATTACAGGCGTGCAGTACCACACCCAGTTCTCCCTCCTTCCTTTCTGCCCCACTTCCCTCCATTCTTCGTTTTCCCTGCCTGCCTCCCTTCTTCACCCCGCTCCTCAAAACTCCTGGCCTGCAAGTGAGTTTGAACATCTACATTCTAATATGCAAGAGTGTAAGTGAAAAATATATTTTGATTTTTATTGGTGAAAAAAGACAAATACGTCATTTTACACACTGAATGTGGCAAATACATCTGTATATCACACATATTTAATAAGTACTGAATCACCATGAAGTCATACACAGGAAGATTATGCAAAGTTCTTCTGGAGATAAAAGAGCACATTCACAAGAAAAATTATATCCTTACAGTTTCACAGACGTATTTTCAAGTATTACTGAAATCAAAATGATTTTCCTTTCCACAATAAACTACATAACTATACTTTTGAGGAGTAACTGCAGACTTTGCTCTCCAAATTGAACTCTGAGCTCCAACTACTGGCAGGGCAAAAGAAGCTGACTGGTTCAAGAACACCTCCAATTTTCTTTTAATCTAATGCAAAGCCGGGAGAGTATCTGTAGCCCAACCAAAACCTTGCTATTCATCTTACTACCTAGAGGCTTAATGGGAAAACCACTTCAATATTCCCTTGTTCTGGTAACGTTATCCAAAGCGGGGTCTCTGTGAATTATCTATTTATCCCCATCAATCAAGTCATTTTAAAGGTTGCAAAAGTATCCCGAGAGGTGGTTTCTGAAGAATTCACTGGTGAAGTTACTTCAAGCAAACTGTTAACACCTCCCTGCGCTCCCACCTAGCCCCAGCCTCCTACACATTCTTTTTGTCAGTCAGTTCACTGTTCTGATGAATTCTAAGTCAGCCAATGATGACTCAGGAAGAAATCCCGACTCCTTGCACCAGAATTCTGGTGCATTACAGCTGCAGAATCCTTGTGTCTCTATCTCTGATCATAAAAGATTTACGATTTCTTTGGCAGGAGAGGCTGTCAAAGGTTCCTGAGGAACAATCCTTCCAGCCCCGCAGAGGGATCCAGCCACGCGACTACTACTAATGCGCAGATCGCAAACGCAACCTCAATTAAAGCAGTAGTGTCTTCTGACAAAGTCCTTTTCTCCCGTTTCCTCCCTGACTAATGTTCACTCCCCAAAGTATTGCAAGACTCCTGCGCGAGCTGCAGAGCAGGTCGCTCCACCCGGCCCTGGCTGTCAACCCTTTCCTGTGTCTCTGTTTCCCATTTCCAGAGAGCCGCCGCCAGGTGCCGGCAAGGCCGCGGTCTCCCTGAGGAGTTTGCGAAGCAGGCGGCCTCGGGTGAGTTGCAACTGAACAAGAAAGGCGGCGGGGAGGAGGGGCACGCTCTCAAAGAAAAAAAAGGGAGCTAGAGAAAAGTACAAAGGCACCCTTCATTCAAATAAGGCCGCGAACCCTGACTAGAACCAGAGAGCGACCTTTTGCTGCGGGGCATTCCGCCCTCTGGTGCTGGGGAAGGGCGAGCGCCCGGCTGGCCTGCCGCCAACTCCCGCCGAGGTCGCGGGCGTCCCTCGCACAGAGAAGCCTGTTTCTGCTCACACAGCGCTCCCGCCGGCCGCCGCTTCCCGCCTGCGTGCGCACGACGCCGGCGCCGCGTACGTCAGCGCCGCCCCCACTTCGAGACCCTTCCCTGGCGGCGTGACTGCCGCGGGCCGCGCTGGCCCCGCCCCTGCCCGGCCGCAGCCGGCCAATCCGCGCGCCGCGGAGGCGGGGACGGCTCCCTGCAGCCCCGCCCGCGCACAGCAGCCCTGTTTAAATCTGGAGGCGCTCTCGGCCGGCCAGACTTCTGGGGCCCGGGACGATAATGCAAAGTGTTATGTTCCTGGCTGTCCAGCACGACTGCGTACCCATGGACAAGAGCGCGGGCAGCGGACCCAAGAATGAGGAAAAGCGGGAAAAGATGAAACGGACGCTGTGAGTACGGCTTTTTTCTCTGTTCTGAGATCCCCTGCGCACTTCCGACCAGTTTATTCTCCTGCAATTTCGGCTTTGACCTTAGCAAAAATTGTAGCCTGCGCCTCTGCAGGAAAAGGTTATATTAAGTGAGATTAAATCTGTGGTATGTACTTACTTTGTGAGGAAAGGGCACCTGGGTAGAGAAGAGGAACTGAGCGAAATCTTGACCTGAGGGTGGTGGTAGATGTGCTAAGATATTGCAGGTTGGCTTTTTGTTCTGCATTTAGACCCGAGGGAGGGGGCGGAAAGGAGAAGTAAAAAGGATCAAAATGCGATCTGTTTATGTACCAATGCTCCGTGATGAACATATGCATTACGTATCAAAAATATATGGTAATGAAAAGAAATCTAAAATGACATCAGAATCCTGCGGCTGAAACTCATTCCCAGCGTTCCTATGTTGCATTGTGAATTCTGATCAGCTTGCACAAGTGCTGGATGGAGACGTTTTGGCTGATTCTGACATACTCCTTTTACGCCCACTGTTTATATTATAGAGCAGATCTCACCTAGTCACGGCTGTGAAATGAGCAATTGTTCTGCAGCATCTGCTTGAAGGGGCGTTGTGGTGGGGGGATCAGTCGTACACATCTCTGAGGTGACCTCCTCGGGTTTGGTTGACAGACGTGCTAAAGGCAGAAAGGGGCAGAGCATCAACTGGCTGACAGCAGTTTCAAAGCGAGAAATACCGCAGAAGTGAGATAAACTTTGCAGAGAAACTGCTGCCTTTTGTGGACGAGAAACAGCATCTGCCTAAACTGAATGTCAGCTAAATTTATTAAAATATCCGATGATTTTAGGTAGCCATACCCTGAAATGTAAAACTAGTTATATTCAAGTGAATGAATGAAACTGTGTTCAGTTGCACAATCCTCTGGGTGTAAATGCTAAGCGGGTAAGAGTGTTACTTGAGTCTTGGTTTGTCCTATCTGATTTGTTTGTACCTACTGGGTCACTTTATTCAGTAAAGATTCCTTCAGCTGCAGTAGCATATTCAAGCACTGCCACTTAGTGAGTTTCTTTTTTTCCTTTTTTTAGCCTGAAAGATTGGAAAACCCGTTTGAGCTACTTTTTGCAAAATTCTTCTGCTCCTGCAAAGCTCAAAAGCAGCAAGAAGAACAAACAGCAAACTTTCATCAAGTAAGTTAGGAATCTTGTACTTGCAAATATGAATACCTTGCTACTAAACTGGAAGGGGAAGTCTGATGTGCACAAGCTAATGGGTGAAACTTCTCTTGCAGACCTTCTCCTGAGGAAGCACTGCTGTGGTCAGAGGCCTTTGATGAATTGCTAGCCAGTAAATGTAAGTTCACCTGTTGAATTCATACACTGCAAGTATCACAACAGTCTAGAGAAGTTGTATACACACCATAAACGAGCAACTTGCAAAGGAGAATTTGACTTTACAGTCTCTATAGCATAAAGCCTGTTTTTCTCTCCTTTATTTCTCAACATTTAGTCACAGAAATGTATGTGCTATTCACTCTAGGTGGGCAAGAAAAATTAGCCTAAAAATTAAAATGACAGTTGCCTGTAGTTAAGGTTGAGTCAGCTTTTCCATTACATGAGCCCTAGTTACCAGAGAATTTATGGCTGTCCTATAAATATTTATTTCTGTATCTAGAGCAAAGTTAAGTATATTTTTATAGCAGAGTACTGATTTAAGTATTTTGGCTTCTAGCAGCTTAGATTTTAAAAAGTTAAATTCTGAAGATTATAGGTTTGCGTGGAATCTAGAAAATTGCTAATCCTAATACTAGACAGACACAAGTGATTGTTTGATTACTCAGTTCTTCACATTCTGCATGTTATTTTCTTCCCCCTTTAGATGGTCTTGCTGCATTCAGGGCTTTTTTAAAGTCTGAGTTCTGTGAAGAAAATATTGAATTCTGGTTGGCTTGTGAAGACTTCAAAAAAACCAAATCACCCCAAAAACTGTCTTCAAAAGCAAGAAAAATATATACTGACTTCATAGAAAAGGAAGCTCCAAAAGAGGTAAGAAGAAAAGTTCAGTTTAGCAAAATTTGGACATCCGTAGTACCAAAGTAAAATAAAAGAACTGCAAGCATTGAATTAAGGGCAGCAGAAAGGCCCTCCCTTCACTACCCTAACTTTCAATTAAATTGAAGTTTCTACAAATTTGGCTGGTGAAGCTAATCACACATTAAATGTTTTTGTTTTCAAATATTAAATTTCAGTTTCTAACTCTGAATACCAAATAAACCACTTTTTTCTTTTTTATTTTATTTCAGATAAACATAGACTTTCAGACCAAAACCTTAATTGCCCAAAATATACAAGAGGCTACAAGTGGCTGCTTTACAACTGCCCAGAAAAGGGTCTACAGCCTGATGGAGAACAACTCTTATCCCCGTTTCTTGGAATCAGAATTCTACCAGGACTTGTGTAAAAAACCACAGATCAACACAGAGCCCCATGCCACATGAGATGAAAGAAGGAGTCAAAAATGGAGGACATTTCATCTTTTTCCTAGGGGGAAAGACTAGGACCCGCCAAAAAGACTGACCTTGAATTCAGCCTGAGTGTACAGGAAACATCACTCAGAACTATTGATTCAAAGTTGGGTAGTGAATCAGGAAGACAGTATAGGTTACTGGTATCAGAGCAGGTTCCTGGGCCGTATGAAGAGCATAGAGAAGGATAGCAGCTGAACGTGGTATATGTCACCGGAAAAGCAGGAGTGTGAGATGAAGATGCAATGTAGCACTGTTGGTCCAAAAGCATTTAAAATCAATAGATCTGGGATTATGTGGCCTTAGCTGGCTGTACATCCTTCCCTAAATCACTGCGTGTTACCACATAGTGGTTTTAGTTTTAGTTTTAGTGTTTTAGTATTAACATTAAAATGTTTACTATATGTAAGGGTATTGAAGTTCTTAGGACTATAGATCATCAGTACTGTTGTCTCATGTCTTGTTGAAACTGCAAAGGTTTGTTTGAATTGTTAAATGGTGTGTGAAATAGAGTGAGTGCTGTTGTGTAGGAAACTACAGTGTCCATTATGAGTGCCAAAAACTGTCTTGAAGGCAGCTAATTATTTAAATGGTCTTTGAATACCTTTATTAAATTTATTTTGATAAATAATGTCATTGAATACTTTGAGTCCAGGTGTGATTCAGTTTTATTAGATTTTGGTGATTGGAAATATGACAGATTCAAGGAAAAGCTATTCGAGTAAAGAAGAAACATCACAGTTGATCAGTTCATGCCTGTTTAGTGAGCACCAACAGTTGCTGGAACTGAGAAATGGTATTTGCAGGGAAGATTCTCTCTTCTTTGAGCCTGTAAGCATTATGTAGGCCTAAGAAAGTCAAATCACTCCCTAAACCACTCTGGACTGAACCTGTGTAATACAATCTTGTCAATGCCAAGCTTGTTTTTTAATAAAAATAAAAACATTTAACGATAGCCCTTCATGAGTACTAAGGACTGTCTAAAAAAGAATTAAAGTAATGTGGAGACAAGCATCAAATTTTCACATCACTAAGCTTGATCAAAAAGCTAAGCATATGAATGTGGGCTTGACTTTTAATTATTTCCCTTGCTTCTAAGCTCCCCTAGGGTACTGGCATAAGCCTTCAAGAAACTAACCTAAAAACTGCTTCTGACATGATGGATCCATACAAAATCACAGAATTTTCCTGAGTCTCCTGGCTTCATTTGACTAACAAAGAATCTGATAATACTACACTAGATAAGGAGGAAGGCAAAAGAAGTCTGCACTTCTGTTTGTCAGTGTTAAATTGAGGAATGTGTTTTTTCCTAGTTGAGAGAGAAAGGGCTTAAATCTCTCTCATTTTTCAAGCTGGCTAATGTAACAGGGAATACCCTGTCCTTTAACAGGCTGCTTTTCAATCTCGCTCCGCACCTCCTCATGTTACACCTCCTACCTTCTCCCTATGTGGCAGTAAGGACTCTAGAAATTGTAAAGCACCATAAAGTGCTTTTCTTTCTGACTTACCTAGAGAAAAATTGACTGCCAATAGTTTAAACACTGTTTCCATCGTGGCTGTGTTATTCTTCGTGCTCACCAGACCTGGCAACCAGCACAAGCTCTTAGGAGTCTGCCCTGTCCACATCTGTGTCACTAGCAGCCAGTGTAATATATAAGGTGTTCCATAAATCTTGGCTGAAGAAATTAATTCTGAAGGTCATTGAAACTGATATTTCTTCAGAAAATAAGTAGGTCTGCCTAACCCTTTGCAAAGGTTTTAGCCAACAGAGAAACCCAGGAGTCAGGCCATATATTCACTTTGCCACCAAGTTCTGTTCAGTGTACCTCACATCACCCACCGTCTTACTTTCTCAGTGCCCTGATCAGGGGCTCCACCATCTGAAGCCTAGATGGGCGCAGTTGTCTCGCATCTCTGTTTGAGCACGCTCCTCCCCTCCTAATGTTTTTTTGGCTTTCTAACCCTAGGTTTCCTTTTGAGACACAAACCTCATCTTGTCTCTTGTTGCTTATACATCCTTGACAGTTCTAAACATTAGGATAAAGGTGGTATTTCTCCTATGGCCTGATACCTGCAAGGCTGGACCCTACCTTCTGTTCTAATCATGTCTGCATTTCTCCCAGGTCTGTATGAGCTACACTAGCCTACTTTAGTTCTCTTGGAGGTTCAATGCCCACTGGCCCCAGAAGCTTTTTGTGCCTCATTGTTCCTCTGCACCGAGGGCAATTTTAGCTGTTACGCAGCA